CTTTCTCAGGAAACTGAAATGTTTTAAGGTAGATGAAACAATTTTAAAGTTATTTTATCAAAGCACCATCCAATCTGTTATTACTTTCTGTTGTGTTGTCTGGTTTAACGCACTCCAGGTGAGCGACCGCAAGAAGATTGAGCGTATAACAAAGAATGCTTCTAAGATCATAGGCTGTGAGCTGAATGCGGTGCAGGATATTTTGGAGGATACAATGCGCGCAAAGTTTGTGCTCATTAAAGATGACGTAACTCATCCACTTAACTCATCTGTTGTTGTTAACCAGTCTGGGAGGGTACGGCAAATTGCCACAAAAACCAACCGATTCAGGAATGCCTTTCTGCCATGCGCAATTAGCGCATTCAACTCCAGTTTGCATAGATAATTTGAAATATAGCGTCCGATAGGATTTAACTACTCTGCCCTCGGGAGAGACTTCTGCCCAGTCCGGTCGCTCTTCTCTTGACTCTTTCCAAAGGGGTATCTGCCTGATGTTTTTGTCATTCAGTTGCGACCCTCTCAAGTCTTTGGCTGTCCATCCGAGGTCTCCTGAACTCCAGCCCTCTTCAGACTTTTCCTCTGGGGTTTCTTCTCCGGCCTCGGTAGTTCCAATCACGGAACAGTACATTATTGGTAAATCTTGCACCTCGGTATTTGCGTTGGGGTCAGTGCTTACATCTTGTATGTCTTCATTTTTATCAACTTCATTTGTGCACACGGGTTGGGCTGAGTAACCATGCACTCCATCATCATTGCCATTACATGACGATTTTTCTTTGTCGATACACTTTTCTTCTTGGCTCATCACTTCTTCATTCTCTTTGCAAATAAGCAAGACATCAGTTGGCTCTAAGTTATTGATGGCTGTTGGCTTCGGTGTGATGACATGATCATGCATTTCATGGTCATTGTGCTCAATTCTTTCGCACTGTTGACATTCGTCAAATGGCCGGCGAGATAAGCCGTCTGCATTACCGTGTTGTCTGTCGGGTCTGTGTTGTATGTCGAAGGTATAGGTACCCATCACTTCTAGTCATCTTGCCGTCTGACCTTCTGGGCTCTTGAAGTTCATTAGCCATCTCAATTTCCATGGTCAGTATGTATCAGGAATTTTCTGCCATAGAGGTAGTGATGAATTGTTGCACTGATTATAGCCAGGAGCTCTTTTCTCGTCACACAGTACTTGCGCTCAGCTTTGCCAAGTGTACGGCTGAAGTATGCAATGACTCTTTCTGTGCCATTTTGCACCTGCGATAGCACTGCACCAATTCCATAGTTGCTTGCATCGGTATCCAATATGAATTCATCTTCTTCAGTAGGATACGCCAAAATTGAAGTGGATGTGAGGGCCTTTTTAAGTTGCTGAAATGCTCTGTCACTTTCTTCTGTCCAGATGAACTGCTGTTGTTTTTTCAGTCAGCTGATGCAATGGTTTTGCAATGCCTGCAAAGCCTCTTACAAATCTTCGGTAGTACAAGCATAGGCCCAGGAAACTTCGGTGACATTCTTTGGTGTTGGCCAGTTTCTTACTGTAGCTGTCTTGATGTCATCTGAAGCTATGCCCTTCTCACTGATGGTGTGGCCCAAAAAGGACACGCTGCGTTGAAATAGATGGCATTTCTTTGGGCTTAGTTTTAGCCCAGCTGTCTTGAGTCGAACTAATACTTCTTCAAGTCGCCCAAGTGCTTGTTGAAAGTTGCAGCCATAGGATACGATGTCATCGATGTATGTCAGGCACGTTTGCCATTGCAACTTCTATCAAATTAGCCGTTGGTTCAACTACAGCCAGTCCCATAAGCCCTGCTTCTCCTTCCAGTTTCCCTGGTAGCAATACCTCTCCGCCTGGTGGAATGCTCACAGTAGTGTCTGCAGTGATGCGGCATGATGATGCTGGTGCCCGTGCAGTGGCTGTGCACGCTATGGGTATGTCGTGTAGTTTCATTTTTGCCTTACCCACATCTAGATTAAAGTTGTATTTCATCATGAAATCATAGCCCAGGATACCGTCTAGGTCGATCTCAGCCACCCATACATCATTTTGTACCTTAGGGCTCTGCTTGGCGATTTTAAGTTGAAAACTCCCACGCCCAATGGAGAGTAGGGGCTTGCCATCTGCTGTTACCATGGTGATTTCGTTATTCTCTAGTCGTGGTCGCGTTGATTCTGGTATGGCGTAGTAAATCTCTGGCCTCACTATTGTTATGTTGGCCCCTGTATCCACCAAAAAACTCATACCAACCCCTTCTAGATGTCCGGCCACATGCATGCCACCTGCCCCCACTGTCGATCTGATGCGTGGCTTTATTGTTGTGATTGGGTCTGTGGGCCCGGGCCTGGGTGCTGGATTTGATCCTTGGCCCACAAGCTCGACTGTCCGCCGTTTCTCTGAAGTGAGCTTGTATCATTTCTCCATGAACCGGCTTTTGGGCATTCTCGTCGGAAATGGCTGGTCTCGTGGCAGTTCCAACACTTCACGGTGCCTTTGTCTCCCTGGCGTGCCCATCTTCGTTGTGTTGATGATCTGGGGGTAATCATAATCATGGCCATTATCCGTCTTTCCTTCCCCATTTAGTTGTTTTTGTAGATTGTTGAAATCTTTGGTAATAGCTGTCGTTCCAGTGGTTGTGTGGCTGCTGTATCTGTCGTGTCAGAGGATATCACTCTGGCAGCTGGTGCTGACCATCTTATTTGGCCCTGTTGTCTCTCTGCCGTATGAAATGCCTCAAGCTCAATGGCAACTCTCACGGCATCATCAATGTTGATCGGCCTGGACTGAAACACTCGCCAACGGATGTCAGCATCATCTAGAGCATATATGAAATGCTCTCTTGCTAGTGTTTCTTGTAGCTCGTAGGGTGCCGTTGGGTATGCCCGTCGTGTCAACCGCCTTATGCTCTGGGCCAACTCGGGAAGTTTCTCATCTCGCCCACTCATTCGGTTCTTTAATTGAACACGAAACATCTCCGTCTGGTTGTCAGGGCTAAATCGTCGACCGAGTGCTGTGACGAGAGCGTTACAATCTCGTCGTCTAGTGACATCTAAGTCACCCAGCATGGCCTGTGCTGCGCCCCGTAGATTAGCGGCCAGGTACATCGCCTTCTCTCGTGCACTCCACCCGTTGAGCTCAGCCAATAGCTCAAACTGCACAAGATAGTCTTCCCAGGGGCTCATACCATCATACGTCGCTGGCCGAACTCTCGGCTTATTGCCAGACCGGGCTGACATGTTGTTCTGTGTCGATCTCTGTTGTTCCATGTTGTACGGTGACGGTTCTCGTTGTTCCATGTTGTCCGGTGACGGTTCTTCATTATCGGCAGTGCCCATTGCCGCCAGTTGCCGCCACAACCTCTCATTTTCTTCCTTCATCAGGTTGATTTCTCGTCATTCACATTGAAATGAACCGATTTCTTGATCGGAAGTATTCATCTTCTTTTGTCGTTCTGGTAGCGTGTACAATACCTCCGTCGAAGTCCGGTCACCGCTGCCACCAAATGTAACGGGCGTGGAATTACTAGTTCAAGTACTAAATGACTAGAGACTAGACAAGAATTCTGACTGGAGAGATCGTGTTGTTGTTCAAATAATAATAATGGTTTTATTGTCTTCCAAAACTGTTGGCACACACCGTGCCTAAAGCGTATAATCTAATGTCTATGTGGATAACGATGAGGCGGAGCGCCAATGTGCATTGCAATCGAATGTTGAGTAAGACGCGCTCCTTATTCTGGGTGAACTTCCTCACCGGGCCAGAACCGGTCACGATCTGAACACCGAGCCCTGAGGAGCTAGCGTATCATAATAAAATGTTTCTTGCAATGCTCTAATAATCATTCTTCTTCACAATAATCTCTAGGTCTTGACCTAGAAAGCATAGATGAATTAAACTTGTATAAGTCATTTCATTTAACAGCTATTCTACCAATAGTTTATCATAGGCCCTATTATCAATACGTGGTCAACTGTATTGACATTAATTCTTCTCAATCAAATATGAGTTGTAAGTCCTATCAATTAAGTTTATGAAAGGAACCTGTATTTTATCAGAGTGAAGAATAAAGTGTGCTTACTGGAAATTAATCATGACTTGCATTTTCGTTACAATGTTATAAGTGAAACATACACTTTGAAAATATGTTTTTGACTATGCACAAATTCTATGTATTGATAAATATCAATAAAAACATAAATAATTGATTTATCACAAATAGCCCGACCGTTATAAGGTGTCATCATGTAAATTCTTTTAAAGTATGGCCTCCTTTGTGGAAATATGCGAACATAAATTACATGTACATTTGTACATATATCCAACTAAATATAGTTCCCCCCCCCCCCCCTCTGGCTGCGGAACTAAGCCAGCAGATGGAAAGTATACCTCACTGATCTATTCTGTGCACGGAGTTTTGTTTCTTCATGAAGCACCTCAAGAATGTGCAGACAATCCAAATTACTTGACAATAGATTTGTTTTATAGGCTATGGCACAAAGCCTTGAATTGGGCAGTCTGGCATTGGCCTTGAACAGACTCTTGGTATGTACTCCTGCCTCTTGAAATGATCATGCAAAATAAGATTTAATACTTAAAATACAGGTGAAATCATTAAAAAAAAGAAGGACGACTGATACGTTATAACCTTGTCTTTTTCTCATAGAATGTGCAACCAGACCCGACTAAATCTTGTGGACCATACCACCCAGACTATGCAAGGTCACATCCTGTTGAGCCACGCTACAACAGTGAGGTAGACAAGGGCAACCATGACACCATTGGAATGCTTGTTATAGATAGAGATGGCAACATTGCAGGTGGTACTACAACTAACGGAGCTAACCATAAGGTACCAGGGTAAGTCAATCAAGCAATGATGTAGCATAATGATGCAGCTTATCTTGCCATTTCGATCTTTGAAGCTTTTGTGGCCCCTTTCACTATATACTAAAAATGACAGCTGAAGTTTTAAAAAACATCATCTCAACATTCTGTCATCATCATGTCGGTTTTAAGGCCGTTGTCCAGTCTGTTCTGGGTTGGCCTGCTTTCTCCCTATGGCTCTCCTCCACTTGGCCCTGTCCGTCACATCCCTCGCATTGACTCCAAGCAGTCGCATGTCATCTGACACAGAGCTCTGCCAAGTCTTGCGCGGTTGGCCGACGGGTGTGGACCCACCCACAATTACGTTGGTACACCTCTTGACCCAGTTGACATCCTCCTTTCTCTCCACATGACCAAACCACCTCAGCCTGTGCCTCCTCAATACGATGCCGATCCCCTCCACTCCCACTCTCCTCCTCAGCTCCTCGCTTGACAGCCTGTCAGCCAGAGACACCCCACACATCCACCTGATCATTCTCATCTCTGCTCGTTCCATCTGCTGGATGTGCCCCACCCTTGTGGGCCATGTCTCGCAGCCGTACACCATACTGCTTCGGACACAGGCGGTGTAAACCTGGCCCTTCATCTTCAGGGGCGGCGCCTTGGATGTCAAAAATGGGGCCAGCTCCCTGAACTTCTTCCACCCACTCCTCACGCGTGATGTCACTGCTGCATCTGCTCCTCCCTCAGCACCCAGCATGTCACCCAGGTAGCAGAACGACTCCACCACCTCATACGTGTCACCGCAGACCTCCAGACCCGCTTCTCTCTCCTCTGGCCGTAGACCATCACCCCGACATCTCTTACAGACGAACGTGGCGCTAGCAGCCTGAAGACTACCCTTCAAGCCACTACATCGCCTGTGAACCCACTTCCTACACGTTGTACACTGGATTGAGTTGGCAGCTACACCTTTCCCACACACACCACACGGCCATGCACCAGAGCTCGTCATTGGCCCACCGCTGACGCGACTAACTATCACCTTGGTCTTCCCGGCGTTGATCTTCAGAACCTTAGATGCCAGACACACTCTCCATGCTGCCATCTTTGCATGTAGCTGCTCCCTTGTCTCTGCTATAAGGACTAGGTCGTCCGCATACAGCAGTTCCCAAGGCAGCCCGCCTCGCGTCTCACTGGACACCACGTCCATCACAGTAGCAAACAGCAGGGGGCTCAGTACCGAGCCCTGGTGTACACCAACCTTCACCTCAAAACTCCTGCTATCCCCTGCACCTGTCCTCGCCACCGTACTAGCACCAGTGTACAACATCATCACTGCTCTCACCAGCCATTCCTCCACACCCCGCTTCCTCAAGGCCCATCGCACAACCTCCCTTGGCACTCGGTCAAAAGCTTTCTCAAGATCCACAAACCCGAGGTAGAGCTTCTTCTTCTTGGCCGGAAATTTTTCCTACAGCTGTCGTACAATGAAAATGGCGTCAGTAGTTCCTCTACCCGGCATAAAGCCGAACTGCATCTCGTCAATCTCCACCTGCATCCTCAGACGTACCTCAAGCACTCTCTCCCACACCTTCATTGCCTGCTCCAGGAGCTTGATGGCCCTTAAAGAGCCACACTCTAAAGGGTCACCCTTGCCCTTGAACAGGGGAACCAAGATGCTGTTCTGCCAATCTGTGGGAATACGGCCTTCTGCCAAAATGGAATTGCACAAGGCCGTCATCCACTGTACACTGACACCTGCAGAGGCCTTCATCATCTCACTAACCACTCCAGATGGACCAGCGGCCTTCCCAGACTTGGTGTGCTTCAGTGCCTGAGCCACCTCCCATTCTTCGATAAGGCAAAATGGACCCTCCACCACTTCACTTTCCACCTCCCTGTCCCACTCGTTCTCCACATTGAGCAGCCGCTCCATGTATCTCCTGCACACCTTCAATATCCGTCACGATGTTACCATCCTCATCCTTGACACAGCTCGCACCAGTCACATCCTGCCGCTCCTTTGCCATCTGCTTGGCAATCTTAAAGAACTGCCTCCTACCCTCACCACTCCGTAGATCCGCTGCAAACTCCCTTCTCTTGGCATCTTGTGCCATCCACACCTGTCTCCGTGATATCCGCTTTGCCTCGAGGTACGCTAACCTATCCGTCTTCTCGCCCGATGACTTCCATATATTAAAGCGGCGCCTCTTCTCATCAACTGCATTCCTGACCTCTTCGGTCCACCACCATGACTCCTTGTGCCTAGGCTCACCCTTCGTCCACCCACAGACCTCTTCTGCAGCTTGCAACCAGATATTCCTTGGCACAGACCACCTACTATCCACACTCTCCTCCATCACAGCCTGCTCTGCCAATTCCTCCACCCTTGCTCTAAACCTCTCGCTCACATCCTCCTTGGTTAACCGCCACACTCGCAATCTCGGCACTTGCTTCTTCTTCACCTTCCTAGCACCAACCAGAGCCAGAGCCAGGTCACCAACGACAAGACGGTGCTGTGAAACACACTCTTCTCTTGCGATGACCTTGACATTCTTCACCATGGTGTGGTCCCCTTTCCTGACCATCAGGAAGTCGATAGCACTATTGCTTCCACTGGAACTGTACGTCACCAGCTGGTTGGAGGTCTTCCTGAAGAATGTGTTGCATATCACCAGCCCGACCGCGTCACCAAACTTGAGGATCCGCTCACCCGCGACATTCCTGTCACCATAACCCATGCCTCCATGCACGCCATCATAACCATCTGCAGCCGCACCCACATGGCCATTGAGATCACCTCCCACAATGACACCCTCTCTCTGTGGCAGCCTCGAGACTACCCTAACCATCTGATCCCAGAAGGAATCCTTCTCTTCCTGTGACCTCCCGACCTGTGGGGCATAGGCCGAGATAACGTTGACCACTCTCCTCCCGACCAGTAGCTTCACCAACAGGATCCGTTCACTGACTCGCTGAACCGCCATCACCTGGTAAACCCACCGTTCTGCCAGCAACATCCCGACACCTCCGCTCCCGTCATCAGTGCCCATCCAGAAGAACTTATACCGCTCACCCCTCCTACCAAGCCACCTTGCACTACCTCCCTTCCACCTTGACTCCTGCACACAGCACATATCCACTCCCCTCCTCACCATCCCCTCCCCAGACTTTCTCGACATGCTGCCAATGTTCTACGTTGCCACCCTCAAACGCTCAACCCCCCTCCTGTTCTGACCTCCCCGCAGGACATCGGGCGAATAGCCGTCATTACTTACTGCGGCTTGGCCTCCTCCTCCACCTTTATGTTTGACGAAGGCTGGTGGAGCGGCCCACGGAGTACTTGAGGCTGTACCCCGCCTATTCATATTACTAGCCATAGTTTGAAAATTGGAGCAAGATTTCACAGCCGGATGCCCTTCCTGACGCCAACCACAAGATGACTCCTACGTCACGCTGTGGGGAGCGATGGTCATATTCTGATCCGTGACCATACAGATATAAGCAGGCCGATACTGCACGGGTTTGAAATCAGAGTTTCCTTCTCCTAGGTGGGCTGCCTTACATGGCTAACGAGCCCCACCAACCCTGGTTTGAAATCAGAGTTGTCCTTCTCCTAGGCAGATCGCCGACCTAGGCTAACGAGCTCCACCTACCCGGGTTTGGAATCAGAGTTGTCCTTCTCCTAGGCGGACTACCAACCAAGGTTGACGAGCTCCACCTACCCGGAGCAACTGGTTATAGCGCCAGAAATTCGCTGACACCCTCTGCCATTCTGTAAAAATGGGAGTTGGCACAAGGATTTGATTAGGAGAGGCTAATGTTGAGACGCCGTGCTATACAATGGAGTACTTCAGTGGAAATGGAGCTGCTCGATTCTCCATACCGCCCCAGCACATCCTAAACCTTTAACCCCCTGTAAGTATTGTATACAAGTGCCTGTTGTTCATGACATATAGGGTACCAACATAACAAGGCACCAAAATTTTGGCAGAATATCTGTCAAGACATTGAGTTTAAAGCATGGTCATCCCGCATGCTTGCCAGTTTGTGTATCACAGTGTGTTCAGCCTGTAAAACTGGCTGCGAGTGTGTGCCGTGTGCTTGGCAGTGGCTGCATGTACTATATTATGAAATATTTATTTGTATCAGACTTCTAGTGGTGAAAATAAATCAAAATATTGTATGTTTTTGTAAAACGTACCCGTGTGACTGCAATATTATGTCAATAAAGTACCCAATATTAAAGTACTGCAATATTATTCCCACACAACATTACGTGAATTATCCATTAGAACCAGACCCGAGTTTGCCTATGACAAACTCGGGTCTGTACTCACCGGTTTGGGACGGAGCAGTTTTCAACACAACCTTTCATCTGACCAACAGTCCTGAGTCCTCCAATTTTAATACGATTTTGCACATTCCCTAGGGAGTTAGGGTTAAGGAGGCGTGGACAGGTGGTTTATGGGATCGTTCAGACATCGTTTTAAATTCCCTTAAAACACCGGTTGAACTCGATTCGGTGTAACTTTCTCACTAAAACGATGTCTGAACTCAAAAATAAAATGGCAACTTAAACCCCCTCGGAGGGAGGGTTTAGCGAATAACCAGAACGAGTTTATCTCCTAGTACGATGTATAAACAGTTTTAGCTAAAACGCTTCCCGTTTTAGCAAGCGCAGTGACCCGGAGTTACGTAACACCTTCTCTGTGGCGCACTTTTGTATTAAGCAAACAACGTACCATCGGCTACAAGTGAATCTCCTAATTCTCCTACCATTAGCCATTCATGAAAAAAATCCTACTTCAAGTCCAATTTCTGCAAGTTTTCTGATCACATGGTCCAAGTTACACATCATGCTCACTCGCACACACAATGCAATGACAAAACATGTAGATACCAACGCAACAACCACTAACCAGAGCATAATTATCACAATACTCTAATATATTCAACTACCAGCACTGTTAATATCACATATATTTTCACGTGACTGACATGTTGTGCTGGCAAGTTGTTGCAGTAAAGCTTGAGTGAAATCTGTTTAATAATGTGTGGTTTCGAACACTGGTTTTCGAACAACTTTTCAGAACATTTTTTATGTGTTTTTGCACCACGAAAGGAACAGAAAATAGCCCTCAAAATGTAAACACAAATGGTGCAAGGCCGATGTATGATACTTCCAAAAAACGGGGAAATCGCCACGGTGGACTAGTGACCGTCGTCAAGTTTACCGTGTGCCATGCTCTATGACCGGCCGAGGCTGCGATGTCAAACACGGCATGGCAACACACATCACGACGGTGAGAGGTTAATAATAGACCACGTGTAGCGAGCTGTAAAAACAAAAGAGTGAAGGCTCTTTTTAGTGTGCGTTTTTTGCCGAGGCAAATGTTTTACGTGACCTTAGAAAAATGAGATAAACTACTTCGAGCTGAACTTGCTATACTTATTACAATGTCTGGATGCTCGGTAGTTTTATTATTACGACGGGCCTCCGCGGTGAGCGACCGTTTTAACTTTTACCGTTTTAGCTAACACAGTGTCTGAACATGGCCCATGGCACCACTGCCTGTGAGTTTACTGACCAAAAATGTCTACACAAATCTACTAGGTTGTTGTTTATACTGTAAAGTAATGGAAATAGTGTCAAAAGGGGGTGGATCCAGAACACTATTTTTGGGAAGCCAATAAAAAATTTGGTCCCCCCAAAAAAGTGGGTCAAAAAAATTACGGCATGGGGTTCGCGGCCTGCTAGGGCCCCGAAATGTTGTTTGGATTCTAAATGCTCTGTGGTGCGATCGAGCCAATTTCTTACCACTTTAACCAATTTTTTATTTGAGCAAAAGATGGTGGTGTACGCAGTGCCTGCCTTTATAGCGACGTCACTAAACAAACTAACAATTTGGTGCGTTTTTTTTTGGGGGGGGGCATGGCCCCCGTTGCCCCCCCCCCCCCCTTGATCTGCGCCTGGAAATAAGAGAGAATCCTCCAAAAAGTATTTCCCAAACAAGTAGATAGTGGGTAGTTGAAATTTAATTTGAAAAGCTACTTGTACTTAGGCCAGAAAAAAAAAATTCTGCTTCCAGTAACATGCCAATCAAAAATAGGGTCGGTCGGAATTTTTTTTGGGGGGTGGGCCAAATTTGTTTGTGCTGATTGAATGGGGTATTTAATTATATGTGAATTTCAGCCTGAACTATTTCCATTGCACTGCGAAAGCTATGCAAAACAATGGCCACAACTAGAAAGTGATTAAAAGTTACCTTAATTATTGTGAAAATGTTTACGGTCTAAAAATATTGAAAAATTCAGGTCGTGCACAACGAAAGTCATGATGGGAAACAGGCCGACACTGTCCGTACACCCTGCGTGATGCATTGTGTGTGGCGGGCGAAAACCTCGTTTTGACGGTAGGACATTTTGGGGAAACACGCTGCAAACTCACTCCAAATACCAGAAAATACATACACAGAACAGAACGATCAAGTTTTGTGAATTAACTTGCAAAAATGTTCTTCTTCCATCGGTGTTTTCTTGGCATTTTGTACGATGTCTATTCCGACCAGCCGCATCGCATAGACTGGTTACCGCATTTCCATCATGACTTCTTTGCCTTTCGGGAAGCAGTCATCGCTAGTGCTGCATACAGTACAGCATTATAACACCATGGTCATTATAACGCATGTTTTTCATAACTGCCACATCGAATTGCATAGTTTAATCGCAAAGCGAACTTGTAAAAACAACAGAGGTTTCTTCTAAAAAAAACTAGAACTGTTGTCAAAATGAAAACATATATGAACTTCAATTGTCAATACATGAATGCACAACACACTGAAGATGTGTTTTTTTGCAATTACGTCATCATGACGTCATCATGGTTCACGTGACTCACTTCAAAATATAATAAATTTAATCTTTGAAATTCAATGTAAAATCATCCGTGAGAGACCGGAACTTGAATTTTGCGGGAATCGATATGATAATATATGATCTTCGTTTTATCTCCTGGGTGCAAAATCATTAGCTATTGAGCCACATGTAACGGCTGTTTGATGGACCAATGTATTTTAAGTGTTTACCAGTGTTTTGTACACGTTTACATGACAACTTCTTAACGGAAGCACATTTTTTACTTTTGATGACGTCATATGAAACTCAAAAGTCCGGCTCGCAAAAGTTTTTTTTTTAAATTTCGGCATTTTTCTCTAAAAACAAGCGCATTGGGGTAAAGAGTGTATGGCGAGCAATATTTTGTATTGCGCCAATGGTGTGCGACCTTTACTTTTTGAAATATTAGCTATTTAATGTGTTTTTGTAACGATTCTACTCGATAAGTTTACAAAAGGTTAAAAAGCAAACATGCTTTGATCAAAAAGTGTCCTCATACAGGCAACCTGTGGACATTTCTTTTAAATGGATTAAAGACCATGCCATGGGGCACACATAATAAGAGTAAAACAAATTTTCTAGAATTTCCCATTTTTGTGCAATCCACAAGAAACATGGTTACTCACGTTACATTTTGTGTGACCCATCTCAGAATTTTATGGCATGATTTTTTTGGACTAAATTATCATAATTAGTATTTTTCTACCCAATAGGCATCAGAACTACTAAAAACTCTGACTTAAATTTGCATTTTGGATCTCCAATGGCAAGTACTCCAAGATAAAGATTTTCATCTGACATTATTCTGATACTACCGTATTACAGTGCATACTGATCCCTTATCAGGAATTTGATGTTTCCTCTTAACTCCAGCTGTAATTTAGTATTTTTTTAACTAAAGCTGAGCCAATTGGTTCACTCCCATCAAACAGAAAACTCAGTTTGAGGCTTCTAACAAAGCATTGCTCATCTTTAACTGCTCTGGATTTACATCACATGAAGAAGTCCAGGACAGCATTTGAATTTGCACCAGTAATCCAGTCTAAACGTTCCTCAGCACATAGGCCAGTTCCAAGTGTTGTTTTGGCCCGGTATCCAGCAGATCCAAAACTCTGTGTCTTTTCGGCATTGTGGAGGTGTATATTCATCGTACATGATTACTCAGACACCTAAATAATCAGCAATCTACCCTGGGCTGTTTTTATCATTTGGGAAACCCATCGGCATCGGCAGGAATAGATGTCTCACATTACAAAGCACATTTTACTCGTGCAGCTTCTATGTC